CAAGAATTTACTGGCAGGAGGTGTAGGCGGAGATGCAGGTTTTAAATGTATTTAGCACCCACATTTACCCAGCTGTCTAGGTTTCAACCTTCTTAATACATATAAATAGAAGACAATTACGCAGCAGTATGACCTCTTTTTGATGAATCGCTTGAGATATGCCATCCGTCCCAGCCGCTGCAATAGACGACACTCCGAGCGTCAAGGATCGAGCGACGATCCCTGGCCACCGAAAGCAAGCGAAGGTCTGCTGTTGGCGAGCAAGACCAGAATCAGATCGGAGTGTGAGGCGCATAGTGTTTCGCGCGCGCGACGGTGCCGATGTTTAACCGGGGTCGCGGGTCAAGCGCAGTTAGATAAGCCTCGGCCCCTTGCAGGAGAAGGAACGGGGGTTTTTAGTAAGCATGAATTGAAACACTGCAATTTATCGCCTTACCCCGGGCAAGAAGGGCCATTTGATGCGTTTTCATCCTCAAAAAACACTGAATTTGCCAGTGTTATGTTATTTGTTCTAACCACTCAAAACAATCTCTAATCTCTTATTTAACATTAATTCCCTTATATACCCAAAAACCAGAATGAACTACATATTAAACCTATTCCAAGTTGAATGATTGAAAGTGACGTCTGACTCACGTAAATGAACTAAGTACCTAAAGCTCTACTGGTTTCAAATTACAACGGGAATCTTATTCATGAGTAGCGTGCGCGTCTTGGCAACGCAACGGTTCAACACAACAACAGTGACTTGTAAACTTGTAGAGTTCTTCTCAATGAGAATGTGAGTGAAGTGAGTACGTCCTAACTTTCAATAAATTCAAAATATCTTACGTTTATTTAATTTTCTTTTTTAAACTGTGTCGTGCGTGGGTGCGTTTAAAACATACAAATTCACGTAAAAAAAGTGCACAAAGAGTTGTACAGGATGGAACCCGCGACACGTTGCACGGCAGCCAGTTGCCCTGCCATCGCATCAACTAGTAATCAAAAGTTAATATAGGAACCAAGTGCGAAAAAGTTAAAATAATAACGAAAAGCTCGAAAAAAAAACATTCACATTTTTCTAATTGTCTCTAATAGTCATACTGAAACAAACGACCATCCAAATAGTTAGCTACATATATTGCTAAAAACATCCGTCATAGTTACAATTGTAAAAAAGGCAAACAAGTGGTATGTTATTTGTCAATGAAAAGTAAGTGCCACTAAAACGGCCTCTGTGTAGAGGAGCCATTTTTAATGGCTCCGCGATGGACGACCCACGAATTGCGCAGTGCTTCAAACCAAAACAGCCGGTATGAATCCCGCAGTAGGATGCAATATTTATTACAGTTTCAAGACTCATACGGGTACTTACATTTTAAAGTGCTTTGAACGTTATTAAAGCGCTCATAAGGGTCATTTTCAAGGTTCATATTTGTGCTAAATACAATTATATCGGTAATAGAAAACTTTTTAATAAATGGGGTAAAAAACCATTAAGAATACGGTATAAGTACTATAAAGTACACTAATCGACTATTTGACTTTCCAAGAATGTCGGATTAAGCATGCCATACTAGGGTTATTTTTTTAATCAATAAAAAAATAAAGTAAAATGTCATTTGGTTAATTAAAAAAATATTCTGTTTATATGATGATAAAAATTAATTCAATCATCATCATCTTTATATATAAAAATTTCGTGCCACGTGTTTGTCCGCGATGGACTCCTAAACTACTAAACCGATTTAAAATTTTATTTGCATTTATTTTTATCCAACTTGAAAGATAGGATAGCTAAGATCTCAATTTATAGTCGCAATAATATTTTGACAAGAACCTTAGCCACAGCAACGCCTGACTGGGTCTGCCAGTCTATTATATAATATACCTATTTACATAGATAATGGCCTTTGTATTTCGTAATTCTTGTTCGTAACATATTAACATTATTCTAATTGTATTTTTTTCTTACAGAAGTCTCACAGACTTATCACATTATAAAACTGCAATCGCCAATAACAAGACCCCACAGACAATTTTATCCTATCGATAGATACAAGTCTAATGGTTTTAAATAAATAAATCATCAAAACATTCCCTTCATATAACCGTCCTCCAGCATAACATCGGCATGTTCTAAAACAGATTGCTTGTTTATTATTCATTTCTTGCCATAGTAATGTTATGGTCCTTATTAGTCACTCCTTCATAGCCAATAACGGAATAAGTCCACATCTGGATGAAGTAAATGTTGTGAAAATATGGGTTGATAACTCGGGGCTGGCTCCTAATGGCTAACCAATCGTTGACTAATAAAACTACAGAACATGTACACGAAGGATTATTGAATTAGTTTTAACTGGTTTGAACTAGAACAGTAGTTTGTTAGTAGTCGAATAGAATTTGTCACGGGCTATTAACCCAAAAATTTAATGCAATTTTATCGTGCTTTCATAAATTTTATTTTTTATTTTATTTATCATTTTATGCGGTATACGAAAAGGCGGAATTCTATTTTTTAATTCCGAAATGCAATCTCTACCAATCAACCGAGAAATACTACAATAGTTTAAAAAAAACAAACGTAACCATACGTAAACACACAAAACATATCTATTAATAAAAAACATAAATATTATAATCAGTAAAAACATTTTTGGACCATATTTAAAATTGCCAGCAAACTATAAATGAGAATATTTTAAATTATTCTATAAATGAGAATTTGTTTAAATTCAAACTAAGAACACACAAAGAATCATACACATGCACAAAAAAGTTGGCAGTTCAAAAAAGGAACGCGACATACATACATGTACACACTACAACCTATCAAAAGGCAGCTAAAAGCAAAAATCAAAACTCCACTGGTCACTACACAACACACACGATGCTAAAATGTTTCAACTACCTATCAAATATTTGTTCCAAATCTGTGTGTTTGTGCACGTGACTTGCTCCTTTAAGTGCATCCATACGGCGTTGCGGAACGTTTAGTGCAAGCTTAAGGTCTAGTCTAGATTTAGCAAAACGTTCTCGTTTCACACTAAAAGGAAATCTTCAAGTGCTAACAGTATATATAATACGGGACTTAAGATCTTCAACGCTAAGTATAAGTTTAACTTTTAATGTATCTCTGAGCCCCAATGGATTTGCAGCAACCAAAAGGAGTTTATTATTCATTTTTAGAACTCATTGTTTCATATATATATAATGCGTAATGTGGCTCAATCTTTTTTTAAAGAGCAGCTTCGGATTTTCTCGCTCGCTCTTCTCCATTCGAATCTATATTTTGGAACGAGCACCTAGCTTCACTTATGGACAATTCAGCTTTGACGTTACAAAAGTGCCTGCTCAACGATTAATTGAAATAAATGCTTTGACTTCGAGTTTAATTGGTTCAACCGTCACACGGCTACCGAGTTTAAAGTCGCTTTACCCACATTTCGCCAATCGTGTAATGAATACCCTTGTTATAGGGAGTAAGCCCATTGCGAAACAGCGGACGCATTCATCCCTATTAAATAGAACTTTGAAATCGCAAACCCCAAAAATACATTGCTCAACCAAAGATCAAACCATGAACAAAGTTAGTAATAACTTATTTAACTACCGGGATACGAATGAAAACATTTTTTTTTTGTGAACAAGCCTTTAACTTCGGTGTTGTTCTCAAGAACGGTATTCTCGCTTGTATTTCGGGAATTTCATCCTCAGTGCTTGCTCTTATACTCTGTATGTGATGAAGTCTTGCAAAAATTCATTCTCCTAGATCTCGGGTAGAAAGCTCGTCAGAAATGAAAGAAGAAATTTTATGTAGTTCAGTAATAATAAGATTAACATGTATTCGGATAATTTTAAATAAAGAATGGCATAATATATTATTATGAAAGTGAGTTGTGAATGATTTACGATTAAAGTATAAAATTCTTTGAAAATAGCCGTTGGTGCGGAAGTTGTGTTACCTTTTTGACTGAATATATACATATTTATGTCTGTCAAGCATATAATTGCTAATGGTTTAATTATTACATTATTTTGCAAAAAATCAGCTTTTTAAATTCCTTAGCCAGTCCATGTAAGCTTTGAACTGACCGTGCGGAATTCTCCTTCTTCCATAAAATCCGCTATTAAATAGATGCCATTATACATAAGTACAAAGCTTTCTCTTCAATCTGTTAAAAAAATCGCATCAAAATCCGTTGCTTAGTTTTAAAGATTTAAGCACACATAGGGATATTGGGACAACAACAGCGACTTTGTTTTATACTATGTAGTGATTAGATTGAGAATAACATATGATTGTGAAGATAAATACTAAATATTTTATTGTATTTAATAAACAATTAAAATTACAAATGTTACAGTGTAATTTCAATTGTTAAAAACTACTTACCTACGCTTTGAGTGTAATTAACATTAATATTCAGTTAAATTAAAAATGAAACATGGTGAACTCATGTAGGTATTCCTTTTATTATAAACGAGTAATTACTTATGAAAAGGATTTAAGTAGATATTGCCAGAGCGCAAAATATTACATATTTGAGGTACCTCTTTAGGTACATTTCAAATATTAACAATGTAGTTATTTTTCTACTCTGGGTTAAAATGAATTTGGCAACACAATCATTATCCGATTCTTGTAGTACCTATAAAATAAAAAAAAAAAGGATATCTGTCAATGTTGACAATATTGCTTGTTATGTGTAAGCATTAAATTGTAAAGTTATCTGCCTAGGCTACCTCAGCTAGGTAGGTTTTATGCTTATTAGTAAATTGTTCGATAATAATTGTCTAGGGTCATCGAATATTTTTTTCTCGACATTATAATTTACACTTATTATAAACACCAGGCGAAATATTCTAAATTTAAGCTATTCAGTTTACAAACATCATTACTTAATATTTAAGTCAGAGTTTAAAAATGTCACTTAGCATTTACTTTTGTTTGGTTATTTTAAGCACTTATAATATGTTTGTAGCGTACTTTATTCCTATTACAACAAACTTACCCATTAAATATTCAAAAGTCATCCATCACTAAATAAATAGTGCGTTTATCCAAACTTTACGGCAGTAAACAGTTTTCTCCAAACGTTGGGAAATTCACAGAATAATTCTATGTCACAGCACACAATGAAATACATAAATTGCACAAATTACATCCAAATTTTGTCCACTGCGCACTTTTCCACAGTTCGCAAGTTCGGCAAAGTTTACGTGTTCGTCCGTAGCGGTGAGTGCGGGCATGCGTTCGTGCAGGGCCGTCGGCCGACAGCGCGCGAGTGAGCCACCGCCACTCCGCCAGGCAGCGCCGAGCGGCAAAGCGCCAGCTTTAGCTATCACTCGGTCATCCGTTACCGCCCATACGCCTCAGTTCCACCCTCCTGTTGCCTCGACCAGCTTGTTCATATTTCATTCGCGTACCTACTACTGAATTCAATGATCTGTTAATAAAAATCTGCAACGTTACGAGAATTTCAGTAATTAACAAATCCAGTCACACTTTTATGTACCCCCAGTAAATAAGGGAGAAACGGCCGCATATCTCCGACTCGCAGACAAGTTAATTATCATATTGTTGCACTCATATCATTTACATAAATTGCAACTGAAAGTGAAGTTTTAACGAATTATTATTGTTCACAAAATCAGATTTTATGCATGGCTATGCAGATGAGATCACATCTAGACACGAAGCGTGCAGAGAATCTTGAATACAAGGTACAAAGGGATGTAGCCAGTATTGCAATTTTGTCCTTAAAAAACGTAGATTATGTTTCGTGGAGCCTGAAATATTAGCCAGACATAATTGGCTTCGTGCCGAATCAACAGGGACCAACTGTCGCGGGGTGTGCAAACGTATGGCGCCGTTCACTAAGCGAGCACGCCACCCGTCACCGGCGGAACATTTCAAGCATTTTAATGCCATCAACCATCGATCAGACTCACTTACTTTTCTATTCCAAGTTTAATGGAGTTGCGAAATAACATTTCTCGAATTCGATTACTATATCAAGTCCATGCCTTTGTGTTTTTAACAAAAAGATAGATAGACAAGTATTCATATCGCCGGTACACACGTTGTTATAATAGGTACGGCAATGGTTCCAATTGTTTTCCTGTAAAACACGTTCAGCGTCGTACAGTCTAGTCGTATCGTGTTCTCGACTTCACCGTAGACACTAATTACCCTTCTCTAATTACTAATTACTCCTCCGAGCTATTTTAGATACCGTTTGTGTAAAAGATAACTAACATGTCTCAGAGACGTATCTCTTGAAAGTTAAACCCGACTTCTTTAGAATAACGTTGCAAATAAATATATTAATAAAGAAAGAAACTTTACATATAATTTTTTTTACAGTAAATAAGTTTTTAAATTTTTTTTTATAGTATTCCAGGACGTTTTAGAATGTTGCTCTAGATAGTAAAGTACAAACATTCGTAACTTTAGCTTACACTACTTAGCCATTAATAAAATTCAAGCACAGACTGAAACTTTTCAGCATTATTTATGCAAATTGCTAATATTATAAAAGAAAAGAACGGACCCTCTTAAATGGTTATTAGGGCGCTTGTGACTTGCCTAATGTTACGGGTCTCCCGTATGTATATATATGGGTGTTGATTAGGTATAACTTATCATCGGGTGATTTGCTCATGCGCATCTGTATCGAGACTTCTCTATGTGATGATCTAAATTATTGTGTAAACCAAGAAACTCATCATCAACATAAGATGTCATTTAAATTGAACCTACATCAGCATGTACATTTGATGAGGTCACTGTGCACCGTGTTAGTTTGATTCCCGCTCTGAATAACTCTTTTTGTGATCTACAAATTGTTGTTCCGTACTTGGGTATGATGAGTCTATGAAATAGTATTTGCGAACGCATCCACAACACAGGACATCCTCAACGGTTTTAAAAAAGGAAAAGAATATAGAAATTCAAATGTATATTACCTACATTGCAAGTCGCTGCAATTTTTTAACCTCGGCTTCAAGTCTACTGCATCGCTGGCGTCAATATTTCAAGTCTACTGCCTCCACAAGTGTTAAAATCAGACGGGTTTAAATGAAATTTCGACGTAACATCGACTGACTTCCCACAACTTGTTTGAACACGAACATGGTAAATTATTGTGATTGAACGTGATTATGATTCACAATAAGCTGCCTTATAACTTCTATCTTGTACTGTTTGTACGAAATTTTCGTCTATCACTGAGTTACTGACAAATTTGTAGAATCAAAACTAATGTTTTTAAATTGTATTCTATTGTAACGTTACATAACTTCGCACCTTTTGTGCTTTGAAGAAATAGGCAGGGATGTTATTTAAAACAGGGTATCTTGCGGAGAAAATAGTTGGTACAAAATCTTACATGATATTTACCTATTGTATAAAAATCGTCCAACTTCGTATCCGCCATTTGTGGGGCAAGAAGTAGAGTCAGGCTCTAACCTGCTAACTTTTTACTAACTTAAAACCACCCTGTACCTGCAACCCCAACCACAGACGGGGCCCTATAGATCTGATGTTCAGCCGGGGTTGCGGGGTAAGCGCAATGAGGCACCGCGACCTTTGCCCAGAGCAGGAGAAGGAACAGGAGGGTTTTTAGTCAGTAAGAGTCTGACACTCCCTCCCGCCCGGCCCTGGGCGGGAGAAGTCATTTGATGATTTTCCCCTTCCCAAAAAAAGCAAGCCCAGCTTGTCCCTTATAGCCCTGTTTGGCTCATGTGTGCTCATCTGTTTGGATCATGCTTCAGTTTAGTATCAGTATAAGCTACGTCCTCATCACCAGCCTGTACTAGTCCACTGCTGAACGAAAGCCTCTTCTCTAACGGAGAAGATTTCAAGTGTAGGAGAGCCATGCAATAGTGGGAGGGTCATGCTTTGACACGAATAGGCTCTACTGAAGTAATGGGGTATCGCTCCGGACGAGCCTGACAGAAAACCATCGTGTTACAACAAAAGCGTTGAATTTCGCCGTGAGAATGGAGTTACTGGACAGATCCAATACTTCTCCTCCCCCAATCCCTAAATGTCCAAATTCCTAATCCTCAAAAGGTTGGCAACGCACTCGTTACTCCTCTGTTTTTGCGGGTGTCTATGAGCAGCGCTGATTGCTTACCATCAGATAAACAGCCAGATTGTTTGCCGTCCTATCACATAAAAAAAATTAAGCATCACGCTTGCTCAAAGCAAATTTGAACTGCAACAAACTTTTATTTTGGAGGTTCTAAGTGTGTGGTGTTTAAATAATATTAGCAAACTTGGAAAAATCACCCTGGTACTTGCCAGGTTTCGGTTACAATAATAGATACCTTTCGGGTTACCCCAATGATTTTTTTGTCAAGTATCTGTAGTAAACTATGCAAAATATATACTAGGTAATATATAATTTGTGGTTTTTGTACTGTGTGGCGAAAATTATATAGTTAAGGAGGAGGAAAAAAAAGGATGGCGTAGTTATAAATGTCAATGTGTGAGAGTCCGAGTACGTGGGATTTCATTTTGTTAAGTGGACGCCATAAAACCTTTTTTCTGTCTTCCAAAGTGAACTACATTATTTTCTTAAAAAAAAGAATTCTTACCTACACGAATAAAAGAGTATCTACTTTTAGGAACGTAATTTTAAAAACAAAGTTAGTGTCTGTATTACGCAGGCTGGCTTATATATTATTTCTGATATTTATAGACACATTTCTAATTTTTTCTAAGTCTCCTACGTACGAAAAGGGTTTTAGTTTCCAAATTCAATTTCAGCGTAATATTTACTTACTATTAATTTTTGTACCTATATTTTGTTTAACATACATGGCCCGCGGGATTTGCACACACACATACATATGTATACTGATACTTTACCATTGCCAACAAATGCGAAGATTTCTAAATATTTATTACGGTTTAAAAATATAAGCATTTTATGTTTTTTTTTTTGTTCAGTTTTACTCAACACCTCAGGGAACTGGCGTGCAGTGCAGACGAATAATATTTTGCAATTTATGAACAGAGCAATGACCTGTATGCTGTTTTAAATGTATAACATATTTATTTATTGGAATACAATTAAGTAAAATTAAATTAATTCACCAAACTCTAAGCGGATGCCGCGTCCGCGGACCTGTTATTCTTTTATTATGTCACTAATTCACTATTCGGTGGGATGTATGAATTTACATATATCTTAAGCGGTACCATGTATAACCAATTCAGTAGACTTTTTTCATTTCCATTAATGCTAAGCCTAAAGCCTAGCTAACATTCAAGAATGTTCTGGGACGAAACAGTTAATAATCATTTTCTTAAAGAGTAATCATTAATGGAAATGAAAAAGAATACTGAATTGGCTATATATGGTACCGCTTAAGACATATGTAAATTCATACATACACTCCAATTAAATAAAAAAAATCACTATTTTTATTTTTATTATTGATCTTTTTTGTAACGTGTGACTGATGGATATCAATTATAATAGACAACAGATTAAAGAGACTTATTCTAAAATTAAAATTTAAAATAGTAAAATTAAATATATATCATATTTTTAAATATAGTGCTTGTTCTAAATAAGCACGTTTATTTGAACCGTTGTTATAGCATAAACAGAAGATCGATCGCTCGCTAATGACCCCTCTGACAACAGCTGTTTGGGCCCACGTGTAATCATATGAAAGCTGTTTCAACGCTGGATTGTTGCAAATCACACGAACTTGTAGCGAACAATTAAAATAATAACACGTGTTCGTTACTAATAATTATTTAATGGCTTAGAGATACAGTATTCCGTTATGTAGATGAGGTCGATCGATGTTAAAGCTACGCTAACCGAATACGGAGGAGATTTAAGAATAACTTATCACTCTAAACGCTAAGATATTTAAAGACTCTTAAAGAAAAAGGATCTCCGTACACTTATAAGAATATACTTAAAATAACTTGAATATGGAATCTAACAATAACAACACGATCGTTAGTTTTCAAAAGTATCTTTTCTATTTATCTGAATAAAAAACGTCACCCGACAATGATTTTTGTTTTGAATGCAGTCGGAATACTGGTTGGCAAAAGCAGAGAGCTGATTGCGATCATTCTTATCAGCCCGGCTTAGTGCGGACAAACAAGAGACAACGATCATCTTGGTAAGCGCTCGACGCAGAATTTTTAATGCCCTCCATCAACCGATGCATGTGTGATTGCGCCCTCAAAGTTTACCAATATCAGGCCTTGACTTATCGGCGAGTCGTCACGTGCGACACCGCCCTCAG